AGTCTTTCTAATTAATAAAATCTGGAGGAGAATGAATCATATAACAGGACAATGATCCCAATCACACCACCAAATCTACAACATAATGGCTGAAAAGAAAACAGTCACAGTGTTGCAATGGCCCAGTCAAAGCCCAGACCCAATGTTATTAAAATGTTGTGGTAGGACCTTGAGAGAGCTTGTACAAGCAAAGCCTGTAAGTCTCAGTGAACTGAAGTACTGCTGTAAAGACGAGTAGATATGAAAGACTGAGGCCTTTATAGAGAATCCTGATTTAGATCTTTAATATGGCATTTTACTTTTCCCATTAACTGTGCTCCTAGTACTGTGATTACTGATTTGTCTTTGAATTTATCTAGCCAAGACACTCTGGCCCAACATTAGCATACCTAAATAATGTAGATATGCTAATGTCGCTATACAGTGTCAAACTAAGTTAAAACATTCAGATTAGCCATAATTACTATGAGATTTTCTTTACATGCTTATCAAATTTGAGATGTGAGTCTAAAATTGTCAGCAGACAAAGTGTTTAGTGTCTGAAACCAGCAAAGATCAACTTGCTAGTTTTCCTTGTGAAAAAGGGGCAATAAAAGGCTGCTGAGTAATTTTTAATGAACATTTAATTAATTCTGCATTTTATCCCGTAGTGGAAGACTTTATGAAACAAATATTTTGTAAAGCTTCTGTTTTGGAATAATTGTAATATTTTGAATGTTCTGCAATCTGCAAAAACACATCTTTAACCTCCAGTCCAGAAAATGCCAAAGAAGCTATAGAGGTGGTCACACGTAAAGATGATCAGTTAATAAAGTGCTTTAGATTAGCAGCATCTGTTTACTTTTTATTATCTGAGACTGTATCTGCTTAATTTAAGACCTGCTAACAACATTTTATTTTAATTTAATATGTAATTCTATGTTTTTTTTTGTACCATGACTGCAACTGCTCCGAATCCAGATATCCAGAACCAAAGATGTGTTTTCATATTTGTCCCTTCAGACCTCCCACAACAACACGACTGTAAGGAAGAAGAGGGCCTGGATGACCATCAGGTGTGTAACCAGGAGAGGTACTCCACCCTGGGCCAGGAGCACCCAGAGCCGCGACACATTAAAGAGGAACCGGAGGAATTGTGCATCAGTCAGGAGGGAGAGCAGTTTGCACTGAAGCAGGAGAGTGATACCTTTATGGTGACTCAGACTTACGAGCAGTGTAGGCCAGAACCAAAGCGTGAGCAGTTTCTCTCTCATAACTTACCTGAACCACAGAGGCGAGATGTGGAAGAAGGCAGGCATGTGGATTTGGGATCAACTAGAAGAGCAGAGCCGATAAAGAGGAAACCTCGCGGTGAGGGAGCAGATGAGTCTCCCGGCTCAGAGGGCCAGTATACAACAAACACATTTAAAAAGGGTTTAAAATGTGAAACTTGTGGAAAAGTCTTTCATTTTAAATCTGGACTAAATGAACACCAGAGAGTTCACACAGGTGAGAAGCCTTATTGTTGTAGTGTCTGTGGAAACAAATTTAGTTTCTCATCTGCATTCAAAGTTCACATGAGAATTCACACTGGTGAGAAACCATATTCTTGCAGTACTTGTGGAAAATGTTTTAGAGATTTAAAATCATTCAAAACTCACACTAGAATTCACACAGGTGAAAAGCCATATTCTTGTAGCATCTGTGGAAAAACATTCAGGGACTTATCAGGATTCCGAAAACACACAAGAATTCACACAGGTGAGAAGCCATACGTTTGCACCATATGTGAGAGAAGCTTCAGTCAAATGATACACTTGAAAACACACATGAAAATTCACACAGGTGAGAAGCCATTATCGTCTGGCCCCCATGGCAAAAGATATAGATACTCATTTGGCTTGAAAGCACAGATGAGAATCCACACGGGCGAGAAGTCACATTTTTGTAGCACATGTGGGAAAACATTCAAGCAGAAAACACGGTTTAAAAGACACATGAGAAATCATACTGGTTAAAAATGTCATCTTTTAGATTTTTAGCACTGTGTTCATAGCACAGCCTGAGACGCCAAATCAGTGCAACACCTGTGAGGAAAAAATGATCTCATATATTCTAATACTGGCTTATTCTTATAATTGTAGGGAAAGCCTTTTGTTTGTTTGTTTTTAAATCTAGAAATGATATTTTTAGCCTGTAGAGATAATACACAAAAATTAATTGTAGAGTTATGTCCTTAAACTTGATTCACTAAATAGCTTTGTTGTTTAAAAAAAAAAAAAACAAATGTTCATTTTTGTTTAGTTTTGTTTTTCATAGTAAAGATTTGATTCTTCTGTGAGGTTTTTATTTCAGTTTTTCTTCTGTCTTGTATCATTTTTATTTTATTTTATTTTTTAAATGACTAACCTGTATTTCATTACAAATGGCTTGACGGCAGGAGGTGTGTATAATGTCTCTAGGCTGGTAAATATGTACGCTTATGGAAGTTGTAGTGCAGTATTGACAAGCAACATGATTTGTAACATGGCACCTGATTGTCAAATGAAATTTCAGTCCTTCACATGGTTTGACAAAAACATGACTCTTAAAGTTAATATGAGTTTATTAAACATCCAGACATTCTAAGCAAAGCACGGTGCAGTTGGTGAATGGACTCGATCGTTTACTCCAGCTGAGGATGGAGGGCAACTAAGAAACGTCAAACAGCTTACAACAACATAGGAGTCCGTCTGTTATAATGTGTATATCTACGCTTATGCGCAGTAAGTAAATTATGCGTACAAATTGATGCTGTAAACTAAAAAGCTGTCCGGCTAAGCAACAGATCAAGGAGAAACTCCACTAGCAAGAGACAGACTAGACTTTCAGGTCACTGAATGTGTTGTGGTGTTTATTGTGTTCTTAGCGATGTGCTTAGTATGTTATTTATCTTTAAAGTTTAAATAAAGATTTCATGAAACACTTCTGGTGACGAGACATTTGTGCAGTGTAGCTGCAGGTTTACAGTTAAACTGCATGAAAGTGTAACGGTAACAGATGTTTATATGGTTTGTCATTGCTTTTCAAATAAGCACTTTTGTCATATTTAGCCTGATGATATGACCAGTTGTCTTATATTAAATAACTTTCCTCTGCAGTGCTTTAAAGTTTCATCCACTGAAATAATCAAGTGGTGATAAAATTAACTTTTTACGACAACAAGGACTTAAATGTTTCTTTCACTGAGATTAACTGTTTGTAAAGGATTTTCGTTTGTATTCAAATTGTCTTTAATATTTTGTTAATTTGGGGGGGGGGTGTAGCTCTTTTTTGCTTTTTATCCCCCTAGCCTTCCGCTATGGGTTTCTATCAAGTTTCAGTGTGTTTTATTTTGAAAGCTGGTTGCTGACCTAATTAAATGTTAGATTTTTGTTACTCTTTTTTGAGTAACAAAAATCTTTTTGCCTGTTTTTTGAGTCTTGCATTTGGGTTGGTTTTCCTACAAAACATTTTTAATGTTTTAAGGTTGGATATTATATTTTATCTATGGTACTTTGAAGGAGAAACAGGCTCATTCTCAGCTCTGGATTTATATTCTTGATGTTTACTAGAGGCCATGATTCGCTGCTATTTTACACTAGGCCTTAATGCAACGCCTGAATTAATAATCAAATACGAGCCGTTTCACGTCCTCTCATTGACATTATACTTGACACACAACACATACACACCATGTATAAAATTCATCATTTTGTGGGCAGGCTCCAGTAGATTTGAAATAAAGGTATGCAAGAGGATATGGAAGACTGGGACTACATCCCCCTCACTGGAAAAACAAAGGTTGTCATCATTGGACCTTAATGCTCAGTTACACTGAGATGAGATTCTGCATCAGTGGCAGTCCCATATCTCCACAGGCTGAGACCAAACTCTCTGCTCCAAGGTGACAACACTCACCCCCACAGTCCGGGGTTTATCAGAGACTACCCCCAGAATCTGGGAGAAGGGAGGATGAAGTGGCCTGCCTGTAGTCCAGACCTCAATCCCACCGAACACTCATGGGATCGACTTGATGTGTAGTTCGTGCCAGAATGAGTAGAATGGCCACAGTGGCTGACCAGCAACACATGCTGGGTGATGAATGGGATGCCATCCCACAGCACTGTGTGACCAGCATGAGGAGGAGATGCCATGCTCTATATGGTTCTTCCAAATGCTACTGAGGCCTCTGTTTGTTAAATCAGTGAACTGTTAAATTGCCAGACAACCATCCAGTCAAATCTAATGAACAAGACCAATCAAGAGTCAGTAGCAGAAAAAGCTGTTTGGCATTGGCAGATGGAAAAACCTATTTAAAAGTTGTTTTATGGCAAATGTGTCCTCCATTTCCTGAGATTTGAACAAAACACCAAGTGTATCCTTTGTGGCCCACTATCCCAAGAGTCATTGCTGACCAAGGCGAAAAATGTTAACTTAAAAGTACAGTTACTTTTATCTGTTTGGTAGACCAAATATTTGCATTAAAAATGACAAATTAATGATATAAAACTATAATATTTATGATTATAATTAATGAAGAGATATTTACTTTAAAAAACTAAAGAAAAAATAAAACCCTGAACCCTAAACAAGGTCTTTTACTCATTATTTCAGGATCTCCCTCTGATCGAGAAAATTTGAAACTAATCTGCGAGAAACTGCTGAAGCAGTTTTCCTTCTGAAACAAAATTCAGAGTTAAGCTTTTTCTGTGAAATTTCAGCTTTCATCACTAAAAGAGCTTCATTACTGAGAAATGAGACATTTATTTTAGTTGTTGAAATGCAGCATCAGTGTTACAGGTTGTGACTCCTGTGAACAAACTGACACAGTGTGATATTACACATATTTAAATCTGTCTTTACTGATGATGTTGAAGCTGCTGAAGGCTCAGTGAAGTTTTGTCTTCCTGCAGGTTAACAAGTGAAATCTGAAAGTGATGCACAACACAAGAGGGCGCCTTCATCCTGCTAACAGGGATGTAGAGGAAGTTAAAGCACCTCAGCTCAGTTTGTGCACTGTTTTACATCATATTACATATTATTAGGCTAATTAAACCCTTTATAATATTGTGTCATAGATCATGGTAAACTGGATCAATAAATCATTACTTTCACAATTATTAGGTAATTCAAACTAAATCACTGACAACTACAAGCCCAGCTTTGGAAAAACTGACGATGGATCAAACAATCAAACTTAGGGTGAGACTTAAGGGTGAAGCTATTCATTCTGCTGAACAAGAAAAAGCAGAATCAGTGGGGTTTCTGTTTGAATCGGGGAGAATGAGTGTTGTGTGTTAGCAGTCAAAATGGTATTAATGAGATGTATTTGGCATATTAAATCCAAAAGCTTATTAAGTATAAACATCAGAACTTCTGAATTCAGATGCATCATCAAAGAAAGCACAACTCATATGTGGCAGAATATGTGGGAGAAGGAAATGAAGGGGGGCAGTTACTTTTCACTGCAAAACAATGTTAAGATACAGAAACATGCGGACACCACGGCGCCAGCTGCACAGGCCCAAGGCTGGAGCCGAACAAAAACTCCCTGATAATGACTGTGTAATGACTGTTCTTCCCATCCCATGCAAGGCCACCTGGGTTGGCTAGCAGACTGTTTACTTAGCCTGATAGGGTGAAGGACACTGTCTCAGCTGAACTATGGACACGCACACACATACACTTACACTGATAAGCATTCACACATCCCCCTTCC